CCATTGTGCTGAAGGCGCACGGAACGCTGTTACCTTCCCACAAAATATTTTTTTCTACTTGCATTTTTACATGCTTTCCAACTGCTAGGTTGGCAGAAACTGGGACAAGTAACAGGAGCTCACTCCGTTATGCAGCGCTACAGATTCGAACTGCTGACCTTTCTGATCAACAAACCCAGCGTCTTAGCCACCGAACCACCACATCCCTACAGCTTTACTATTGTTTTACTATATGTAGTATTTATATCAGTTTTACTATAAAGTGACAAAAGAAATGTTATGTAAAAACAGTACCCCATTTTCATCTAGAGTCGGCAATCTAGAGTTCCAGAGACTCTAATAAATATGGCCATCCATTTGTTTTGGGGATATAAAGCCTAAGAGAAGCATTCTTTTTCTCCTCTTTTCTATTTCAGAAAAACCCATATGTTTTGCATAGAGGCATTGCAACTGGAGAGATGTTGAAATCTACCACCTCTTGCACGCCTAGATGCAAATTCAGATATACATGAAATCGAGCCATTTTGAAAGGAAGGGGGAAAAGCCAGTAGATGCTCAAATGTTTCTTGTTGCTAAACAATGAAGGCATTGTTCCTCCTGAGGGGAAGCGACACGGGCAAAGGTCTCCTGCTTACCTCCTTGGCAATAGTGGTGATGAAAGCGGGTGGCCTCGCCGTGGCAATGAGGGAGAGAGCGTGTCGTGCAGAGCGGGCGGAGTCCGCTGCTGGACTCAGAGGCAGCCCCATTTTGATGCTAATCAGAGATCAGACAAAGAAGGAAGGGTGGTGGTGCGGGAGGGGGGGGGGAGAAAGAAAAGAAGCATTAGAAATATAGACTGAAAAGATTAGACACAGCTTATAATGTCAGTTCAAGGTCAACGGGAGCACTCAAACAGTTAGAATATAATGGACTCCCAACAATGAGCAGTGATTAGAAGTCAGGGTGTTCTAGCAACTAATACAAAATCAAATAATTAACCGTGAAGATTGAAAACAGTATGTGCATCTGTCCAAAGTGTTAAAAAGGCCTTGTTAACAAATTATCTAGCTGTAGTACTGAATACATATCAAGAACCAAGATCAACACAAATGTATACTGCCATGCCAAAACAACAACAACAACAACAACACATTTTACATCTCAGCTAAAGTTTAAGGAGCAGCGTGAACATAAACCTGCTGTTAGTTATTGCTATACCAGTCAACCCATCATATTTTCGGAATAGCTGACATTGGAACTGCTGATTTTAGCATGGCCATCCTCTTTCCAAGTACAATTATTCTTTTTTTTTTTTTGTATAAAGGTGCCATTTGTAGCAAATACAGAACTTAGATCGGAAATCACCTACAGCACATTGCAGGGACAAAGAAAAGGCAGAATAACGGCTTCTTTCCCACATGTCCAATGAGTTTACTCTGACATACCAAGAAGCAGGAAACAGAAAATGTGCAAGTCTGATCAAATTCAAATACTTCAATAGTAACAGATTGGAATTCTATGGAGTCATTAGTACTGCATTTGCCCCTGTGGTTGTCCCAAAGGTGCTTTTTTTGGGGGGGGGGGAAGGCAACTGGACTTTCTTTTTTTCTTTTGAAGACGTTTCGCTTCTCATCCAAGAAGCTTCCTCAGCTCTGACAGGATGGTGGGGAATGGAAAGGCTGGGGGAAAAAAAACACCTTTGGGACAACTCTGATCTGGATGACTGAGAATCTCTACAGACTTTGACCCTGTGGATGGTTTTATGTACTCTGGGCCTTTCCAAGTGGGGGCACAGCCTGCGAACCAAAACCTAGCATGATAGGTGTAAAGAGCATTAAAACATATCCTAGTTTTCCCTTCATTGTCCCCCAAAGTGCTTTTTCAAGAGACAAATGGACTTTCTGGTTTTGCTTTGAAGATGTTTCGCTCCTCATCCAAGAAGCTTCTTCAGCTCTGACTGGATGGTGGGGAATGGGAACTCTCTAGCATCCAGCCAAAGCTGAAGAAGCTTCTTGGATGAGAAGCGAAATGTCTTCAAAGAAGAAAACCAGAAAGTCTGGTTGCCTTTTGAAAAAGCACCTTTGGGACAATCATGACCTGGATCAGTGAGAATCTCTGTCATATATTTTCCCTCCATTGTCATCTGAGGGTACCAAAGTGTAGGTATAAACCGGTGATGGGATTCAAACATTTTTACTACCAGTTCTGTAGACGTGGCTTGGTGAGCGTGGCAGGGGAAGGATACTGCAAAATCCCCACCCCACTAACTTGCTTTCCAGCTTAGTCCTCCTGTTCAGAGCAACAAAAGAAGACTGGCTGGGAGGCAGCGGAGACCGGCCAGCCTATTTGCAGGTTCTTCAAACTACTCAAAATTTCCGCTACCGGTTCTCCAGAACCTGTCAGAACTGGCTGAATACCACCTCTGGTGTAAACCCATTTTCTCAATCTCCAGTGAGTTTGCTCAAGGTTACTGTTTGATTTCTTTCAAACAATAGTATGTTCCCCTTCACACAGGCGGCCTGAGGACTAATCAGCTGGGCAGAAGGGGGCAGCCACAATATACATATATTGTTAGTTAGGGCCACATCTTAAGGACTTCCAGTACCAGTTAGCAAACTCCAGTGAATAATTGTTAGAGACTTTTGATCATGGGAACATAATTTGTTGGTGGAAGGAACCTCAACTAAAAACAAAAAACTAAGAAAATACTTAAAAGGAAAATGTAGGAGATCACCAGACAGAGTCCAAGGAAGAGGTCAAATGTGTCATCAGTTCCAAGTCCCTTCGTGCTCAAAAGAGATATAAGTCCAGCCCACCTTAAATTCTCTTATCTACCACCTATTTGTGTTGACTGTTAGTAGTTCAGAGAGCTTTAGCATACAATAAACCTATATTCTGTGCCTGGACTCCTGATTTTCTGCACTTGACAGGAAAGACAAGTTAGAGTGAATGTGTTTTCACAAATGAGAATAATAGATCGTCTTTTTTACTTGGATATTTCAGAATTTCAGATGACCATCACTGTCTAATTAAACAGTAATACCTACAGGTAGTCCTCATTTACTGATGGTTTGTTCGGTGCCCGAAGTTACCATGCCCTGAACAAGGAGACTTACTGCTAGTCCTCAAAGTTGCAGCTGTTGCAACATCCCTGCAGTCACACAATTGTGATTCTGCCACTTGGCAACCAATGTGCAGTACATTTACAAACGATCGCAGTGACTTTCTGTCACACAATCGACATGTACAACCTTTTGCAGCAGCTCCCCAAAAGCCAAATCAATGGGGAAGCTGGCGGGAAGTCGCAAGTCACAGTCATGTGACAATACACTTAGCAAGTTTGTGGTGATTCACTTCACGACTACATACAGGCAGAACTGACAAACGACCGTCACAAGAATCAGTCCATTATTCCCAAAGGAAACGCACGCTGCAACTTTTGTAGTGTTTAAAGAGCCGTGCGCTGTTTACATTTCCGTTCCCAATTTGAGTCTACGTGAATATTTTCTCATTGTTTTCTCTCACCAATCTGTCACGTTAGATATGGACCAATTTTGAAGGCTGAGCGGAGGTGGGTGGATGCTGGGCAGAAACACCAGAAAGAAGCAATTAATTTAAAATGCAATCTCCTTAATGTACCTTTCTCGTGTTTTATGACTTTCAGAGCTAAAAAAAACACACCCCGGAATGTATTCTTTTCCTCCTCCCTCTTCCTGATGGGAAGGCATAGATTTTTCTGAAAGCAACAGGCTCCTTATTAATTCATTAATGACACTCTCTAGTGTTAGTATGTGGCCAGAGATTAGCCCCCTCCTGTAGCTGAGCCAGCTGGTCTATCGGAGCAAGAACTGCGCATGAAGGAGCAGGCACACTGCCTCAAAACCCAGGGCCAAATCAAAAGCAGATGCAAAGCTAATACGAACAAGGGAGTGTTGAGTTGGTCGGCCCTACAGTCGGGATTTTCATTGAGGGATTTTTTTCTCTCCTCTGCATGGCCAATACAAAGAGCGCCTTCCACGCATGCAAGGTAGCTGTGATGCAGGAGACCTGCTGATAGTAAGAGTAATAAATGTCACTGTAGCTTGTGTGTATGGATTTGGGCAAGGATCACGGGGACAATAGTGGAACATCTGCTGTGCAGAGAGAGAGAGAGAACTCGGTTCTGTCAAAGGGATCAGACAGCAGCTGAGGAAGCCTCCTCTGCAGAAGGAAAGAAAAACGCAAAACCAGAGGAGAGGATTGTGGGCTAGAGGTGCAAATAAATTGACCTGGGGCAAGGGCAGTTTTCTTATATCCATCGGGTATTTATTTTTTATTTATTTCTATCCCGTCTTTTTTTTAAAATTATAAATAATTCAAAACACACAGGATACAAGCATGCAGAGAATGGCTTCGGAAGCCCCCCCTCAAACTCTTTACCAGTCACAGCCATATGAGATACATGTACTCTTTTTGATAATAAAGTGACACCTCATATTTGTGATGTGTGTGTGTGTTTGTGTGTGTGTGTGTGTTTCTGGTGTGGGTGTATTTTTGTTCTCTCCTTGTACATTTAGGCGAGAATGTGCACTGGGGAGCATGAATGAAGCTTGATGTGATTAGAAGGGAAGAAAGCTAAGAATGGATGAAGTCAACAATACTGTGAACTGTTATCCAACTGACTGCTACATAGGGATGTACTGAGGGAGTTTTTCTACAATATTTTTCCCTGTTGGCCTTGGATGAATCTGATCCATTGCTCTTTCTTTCATTAACTTTCCCCACCACAACAAATTTTATCCATTCTGTTCAGTTTCTGGATAAGGTTAGTGAACCTGGTAAACAATAACAGAAGTACCACAAGCATATGAGTCACCAGAGGTACCGGGTAGCTTACTATTTCTTTAAAATATTGTCAATCTCGCTAAACAAAGGGAGAGAGGGAGGGAGAGAGGAGGAAAGGTGCGAGGGTGTGTGGGAGGAAGGGAGGGAGGAAGGAAGGGAGGAAAGAGGAAGGGTGTGAGTGTGTGGGAGGAGGGAGGGTGTGTGAGAGGGAGGATGGAAGGGAGAGAAGGAGGAGGGTATGGGAAGAAGGAAGGAAGGGAGGGAGGGGGAAAGCTGTGTGGGAGGGAGGGAGGAACGGAGGGAAGGAGGGAGGAAGGAAGGGAGAGAGGGAGGGAGGGAGGAGGAAGGGTGTGGGTGTGTGGGAGGAAAGGAGGAAGGGTGTGTGGGAGGAAGTAAAGAAGAAAGGAAGAATACACACACACACACACACCATGTTTTCCCGAAAATATGAACTGTCCTGAAACTAACGCCTTGCCACATTTCTTGTGTGGGCAAAAATATAAATCCATCCCCGAAAATAAATCCCCTGGAAAAGCCTGCCTCTCTTGCCAGGTGGAGCACCGCTCATCGATCTAGCGGTATCCTNGTTAGTGATATATTTTTCATAGTTTGTGGTGGTTGTACTTTAGTGGGTTTAGTGGTCAGACACATTTTGAAAAAGTTGGGTGGATGTTCATTTTGTGGGGGGAACATATTATATAGGCAGTCTGTTTCCTTTTTGCTGATGTTCTGAGATGGTGCAGTGCATTTGAATATTCATTTGAATATTTTTAGCATTGGGTGGTGTTTTTGGGGATGTAATTTTTTTTGGCTTTTGTATGAATTTTGTTCTGTTCATGCTATAACGGTGGTTCAGCCTTTGTCTGCTAAAAGGATGGTGGTGGTTTGGTCCCTCTCTAGGTTTTTGCTCTACTTTTAAGTTGGTTCTGATTCTGTTTCCTGGGTCTGTG